TAAAAAACGGGCCCCCCCGCCCCTGCCATGAAGCTTTTCTACAGCTACTCTTACTCACATCACTCTTAAACAGCAACAGTAGTAACTACCACATCTCTATACAAACGCACATCGCTCTGTAGGTCGTAGGCCTTCCTTGCATGGATCACGTCATTCTGGTCAGGCAGACAGGTCCACTGGTGAAGGTACTGGCGGTAGTCAACATCACTGACTAGCGTCTGGCACTCCTTGGCTGCCTGCACTGACATCGCGTCGACTGGTATGTGGACCTGGGCCTTTGAATCATGGTACGCCTTCCTGTAAAGTCGGTCGTTCTGCAGCAACATGGCACGCGCAGCCCACGACAGCTTGGGATCCTCCTGGGCAGTTTGGCACCCAATGTAGTGGCCTTTCTGCTTCTCGTGCGTTTCTTTGTACTTGTACTGGAAATGCAGAAACAACGTAAGCAGCCACACATTGCTCACCTGAACGTGACTAATGAACAAAAGGCTTTCAGCTTCCTAAGCTGTCAACCCTTTGACACATTTCCCAGAGGTTCTGCCTCAGCACAGACAAAGCTCTGGTCCACTCAAAAGGCAGGCCCTCAAGCTCTCAAAAAAGGCATTCCCCAAGTCACCCACGATTTTTTAAAAATATCTCTGGCTTTTCTTAACACTCGTAAAGAACGAAAAATGGTACTGAAGCGGACACCTGTGTGCTCTGTAAGACCACTCTGAGCACCAGCCACATTTCACATCTTTACAGAGAAAATATTTGACAGTGGTGATTACAGGAACTGCAAGAATTCAGCAGCAACCGCTGCCCTAATCAGCTTTAAACTGTTGCCTGGTGTCTGAAAATTCACACTTTGTTACCCAGCACTCTGAGCAATCTCACAAACATATTGCATGTCCTCTTATTCACAGAGCACTTACCAATAGGCAGCTTCAAGCTGTAGAAAGAAAGAGGTGCTCACAACAGGCTTTAAAATAACACCTGAGCACAAAAGTGTACATCGCTTCTAGCTCAACTGAACTTCACTCACGCCACTGCTGAAGTGGACACAAGAAGAGACAGACGCAGCAACCACGTTAAGAGAAGACTGTACCTCACTAGCAATGTCTCTGGAAGCCTTGGCGTGTTTGATGGGAATGGCATCAGCTCTTATGTCATAGCTTTTCGCCTTGGCCTCGTCCCAGGCCTTCTGATAATGTTTCTGCAAAGAAAATTAACCACCCTTGTTACATGCGGTCAAGACTCTCTGATACCAATGCCTTTTCTTAAAACCTACTCTCCTGGAATTAACAGCTTGGGTGCTCTGTTTGCCCCCTGTAACTGGCAGGCTTACAACAATGATCCTGGCAAGTGTCTTAACAGAAAACTTATGAGTTAAAAGTTAAAGTAGGTGCAAAATCCAAAACACAAAGAGTGGCTGAAATATTCCTGAAAGCACATCGCAACATCCCCTCTAACAGACTACTGCTGACCACAGGCATGTGCTCACCACACAGGCCCCAAACAGGCAGACCAACTGACAGAGTGTACACCTCCACGACCAACATTGAATTCTGCATGACCCTACAACAGTCTGCTCACACACACCTGATTGCAGGGTCATAGCTACTGGGGACAAAACACCTGTTCTACTGACAAAACGTATCCAGACCCTACTTATGTTATGAAGCCTCCTGACAGCCGCTAGAGACTTCTTTCTTTACCAGCCTTTTTTAGTCCTATCAAGAAAGCGAGTGTAGGCGGAGAGGTTCAGTCCGTTTATGAGACTGAACAGAAACCAAAGTGCCTTCATGCGTCTAGTGACACCCAACCTGTCCAGGACATCAAGCCCAAGAACATGAGGGCTCCTTCTTTAGTGGCATCTCAGTCCGCAGAAGCTTGGTCAGCCCAGCTGGCAACTTTGTCATTAGTACGGGTGGGTAAATGACACACTTCAGTTCTTTTTTGATGACTGTGAAAATTCGGAAACTGAATGCTATTGTAGGCCAGACTATAAGGAACTCAGAAAAAAACAGTCATCAAAACACGAGCAAGACAAAAACAGGGGAAGTGAAATGTCTGTTGCAATAGCACTTGAAATATTTCACCCCTAATTCAATCACATCAGGTACTTTTGAAAAATATTTAACATACTATCAACATCAAGAAAGGCTGGGAGTAAATACAGTTTTCAGGCAAAGCCCCAGTCAAGTCCTGCTGCAAATGCAAAATGGGAAATGTTTCCAGCTTTAAGAATCTCCAGTGTGTTAGTCCCATAAAACTAGTGAGTGAAACATCACAAATCTGCAAAACATGTCAGGGATGACGAGTCTACAGACTCCAACAACAACTCCATGGAAAGTATTTACCAGTTTTGTCAAAGGGAGGAGTTGTGTGGAATTGGACACTGAACTTTGGAGTTTGCTCATGAACACACAGCCTATCAAGCAAGGCAGGCAACTCCGTGAGTCACACCCTCAGGAATCTGCGCAGTTTAGGATGAAAGGCATCAGTGCTGGCATGTTCCATGGAAGCAGTTCCATCAATTTCACATTCACACAGACTGAGAGAGAATACAAAGGCATGGATTCCAGATCAACACCTCTCCGGCCTACCTTGCTTAATGAATGTCTGGTTCATAAACACTGCTCACTGGTTCGTCAACAACACACTGCCTAAAGAGCCCCTAGAGGTAATCTACTGTTTAGAATACAAGCACATTAGAAGACAGCGTTAGTACACCACCATTTACAGTGAAGTCTAAAAGACACAGGCCAAAAACTGGAAGAGCATTTGTCATACCCTTAATGTAATAATGCTTCACACACATAATGATTTTATTCTCTTACATTGCTGATGTTGAGAGCATTGGCTTTGGACTGCAGCATTACAGGAGTATCAGAAGGTATGGAAATCTGCGTCTTATCTCTATCCCAGGCTTCACGATACAGATGCTAAGGAGAAAGGAAGCATAATGACATTTCACTATGGTCTGAACACTTAAAAAAAAAAAAACAAACCACCAGCAGAAATTCTTTGGTAATTCTGATTTGCAATACTTTCCAGTTAGTCATTCCCATGGTAGAAATTCTACTCTCCACCACAAAGAAAAGAAATGTCATCACATAAATGAAAGGTAAGTGAAAGGTAAGCTTACGTCACTGATCTGCAAAGCATTGATCTTAGCCTGGACAACGTCTGGCGTGTCAGTAATGCTAGTGAATTTCATCTCCTCCGGCCGCGTGCGGTACAACCTCTCATTCAGGAGTTCCTGGGCTTTCTTTGCTTTCACCACATCCACAGAACCTTCTGTCAACCAGCCGACGCCTCGCAACCACTCCAGGTCTGACTTGTACACATTCTACAAATAAACCAAGGGTTACTGACCTTGCCGAGACAACTCTACGTGCAGAGAGGTTTCGTACAGGCCTTTCCCCAAGCTCCTTCTTGTACAGTTAACGCAACAAGCAGTCAATGAGACCGCGGCGTACCAGGTCCTTCCCACACACAGATAAACCCCTGACTTGCACAGCAACAAAGATACTTTTAAACATACTTGCCACATGAAAACCAGTGGCATAATCTGCAAGCAGTCCACAAGCAAACTGCAAGCAAACATTCTACAGCAGACCAAAAAAACATGGCTTCCTTATGAACTGCCCGGAACACTTCTGGTCCCCAGGCTGAAAACACTGCTGATTTGGAAAGGATCACCCAGACAAATCAAAATAAACATACCAGGACTGACTGCAGGCTCATGAACGTGCATCATTTGAAAGGATAGTTGCACAGTCACTAACAAACAGAGCCTCACGCGCCTGCCATGAAGCTTTTCTACAGCTACTCTTACTCACATCACTCTTAAACAGCAACAGTAGTAACTACCACATCTCTATACAAACGCACATCGCTCTGTAGGTCGTAGGCCTTCCTTGCATGGATCACGTCATTCTGGTCAGGCAGACAGGTCCACTGGTGAAGGTACTGGCGGTAGTCAACATCACTGACTAGCGTCTGGCACTCCTTGGCTGCCTGCACTGACATCGCGTCGACTGGTATGTGGACCTGGGCCTTTGAATCATGGTACGCCTTCCTGTAAAGTCGGTCGTTCTGCAGCAACATGGCACGCGCAGCCCACGACAGCTTGGGATCCTCCTGGGCAGTTTGGCACCCAATGTAGTGGCCTTTCTGCTTCTCGTGCGTTTCTTTGTACTTGTACTGGAAATGCAAAAAGAAGTATTAAAAGAAATAGTGAATCTGTGATGAATTTCCCATAATTTCATGTTGCTGCTGATCACAAATATATTTTTTCATGGTATGAAATATACTTTTTTAGAGTTTAGAAATGCCTAATGCATTTTTACTCCACCACTTCTGTTTATTTTCATTGTAGTTTATTCTTTTCTAATATCTGCTTAATGTCAGGATTTATAATTCAATGTTCCTTTTGTAAGCTGTTGCCCATTTTCTTTCTGCAGTGAATTCTTTGTTAGTAGGCTTTCAAGATGAATCTGATATACCATGTTTTTTTATGTTGTACATAGGTTATTACTTCATTCTTGTTTCGCAAGCTAACTGAAAATAAATGTGAAGGAAAAACATACATCACTCGCAATATCCCTTGATGCCTTTGCACTTCGGATTGGAATTGCATCAGCTCTCATGTCATAACCCTTCTTTTTGGCCTCTTCCCAGGCTTGTATATAAAGTTTCTACACAAAAGAAGACAGAAGATGGCTTCTCAATATTCTGAAAGATGGAATGTCTACATTTCATAATTTTTTCTTAAAGTTTTCATTAATGCATACTTTAGAAGATCTTTATGGTTAAAGAAATGCTTACGTAATTTCTGAATTTCCATTACTTTAGTATATTTTTATATGTTCTTACATGGCTAACATTAGCTGCATTGGCCTTCGCTAACAAAATTGTCGGCGTGTCAGGCATGACGTGAATTGATGTTTTGTCTGCATCCCAGGCTTCTGTGTATAAACGCTAGGAGAGAGGAAAACACATTCCTTTAAAAAGTTTCTTTATGTGTGTCATGATGGAAAGACTGCAAATTTGAAAGCAGTAGTTATCAAAAATATATCCATGATATAAAAGAAAAGTAATCTTGAAGCTGAACAAGATATATATAACCAAACTAATACATTTGTTCAAAGAAAGTATTTTACAAACTGCGAGGGGTAGTTCAAGCAAGATTTAAATACCCTGACATAGCAAACTTTCTCACTGAAACTCAATGAGAAAGCTCAAGAAGGAAACTTTGTCCTTCCTCATTATTTCTCAGGCTAAGCTGGCCCAGCAATTGATTGATTTAGGATTGCTGGGAAACTGCTGTAGGGGAGAACTATATTCATTATTCTGCCATATCTGTAAGAGTTGTTTGATTGATGTTTCTTATTAAAGAGAAGGAGTAGGTACTTTGTGACTTTCATCCTCCAGGTCTGAGATAAATTGCAGAAGCTTCACTTCCAGGGAACATAAGCCATTTCCTCATAACTTGTTCATCATACAGTATGACATTCAATCAACAATACATCATCATAGCAGCTGCAGTAAAAGCCTCAATATTCTGCTACATCCTATCTTATAGCATGGTCATGGCACCACCACCTCTAGACATACCCTAACACCTTGCTGGAACATCGTTTCTGCAGATTTCACAGTATTGTCTAAGAACTGCAAAAAAATTTAGCCTGTTCTGTCAGAGATGAGCTTTGTATAGTGAAGTAGCATTAACAAAATAGAAAAAACATACCAAACAAACATTTAAAAATAGGATTTCAGCTGAGATGGGAGGAAGAGGGAAATTCACCGAAATTTTTAGTATTACTCTTGAAAAATATGTGATTTAGGTGAATTTTTTCTGGACATTTTTACTAAGTGTTCAGTTCAGACAGAGCCCTGAGATAAGAGCTTTTCTGTGCAAAGGCTGAATTTGGACATTCGTTTTCTCTAAGTCCACAACAAAAGTGTTTAGTCTCACTTTGTATTTTGTATTTTTCACCACATGAACAAGTTCTATTAGCTAGTAATACTAGCGATTTTGACAAAAAAAAACCCTCACCTTGTTCATTATCTCAGCATTTTGCTTGGCTAAGACCATGGCCAAAGAATCTGTCACACTAGTAAATTTAATTTGGTCTGCTGGTTGACGATACTTCCTTTCACTCAGGATTTCTCCAGCTTTCTTGGCTTTCTCGACTTCCATGGAACCAATAGGAACCCATCCAATACCTCTTAGCCATTCCAGGTCTGATTTGTAAACAGCCTGAAAAAATTTGAAATTTCATTATATAAGTGCAAGTGTGATCAAATATTAAAATAATTATAAATAAGCATATCCTAGTCTATATGAACAATTATATATATTTCTGCATAGGAGCAGGATATGGTTTTGAAAACAATTCTTATTTTTGAAGATTTAGTAAAATAATTATTAAATAACAAAAAGAATAGAGTTATTGAAGAACCCCACAAATATCAGAGTTACATACAAATTACGCATCAGGCTAAGGACTGAGAAAATAGGATTAAACATAAATTTGATGATAGAATATTAAACGTTTCACCTCTATCAACATGTCTGATGCAAGCGACTAAGGCATAGCACATATCTTTTAAAAATTCTATTGTACAAGACCCAGTATATTTAATCATATATTGTAAATTTAACGGTTTACTCACATCACTCTGTAGGTCATAGGCCTTCTTAGCATGGATAACATCATTCTGGTCCGGCAGACAGATCCACTGATGCAGATAGTGACGGTAATCAATGTCGCTGACCAACCCTTGACATTTCTTGGCCAACACGATTCCCAGCATGTCCACTGGGCTACTGAAGTGTGTCTTCGTCTTCTCAAAGGCTTTCTTGTACTCCCTGTCACTCTGGATCTTGGCCACGTGCATCGACCACATCATCTTCGGATCATCCTCTATGTTACGGGCCCCTATGTGGTGGCCAAGCTGCTTGCGATAGCCTTCTTTGTATTTGTACTGAAATGAAGTATATCCATATTCACATGGTGTATTTATAAATTAAGAAATAATTCACACAGTTTAACATAGCCATTACTATTTTGTTTAGAGAAAAATATCATTTAGGTCTTTTATTAGTTTTTAAGTTTTACTAATTTTCACACATTTTTATTACAGATATCATTATCTCTGATTTTTTATATAACTATATTACACTTTCAATTAACTAAACATTTGATGTCACATACTTACTAACAAGTTTGATATTCCACATTCTTATACTATTAAGATTAAAATGCAAAGATTAACTTATTTTAAAAGCTTATTCCAAAACACCTTGAGGAAGATAGTCTGAGTTGGTCTTAATACTAACAGATTAAATATCAACCTTGATCGAAAAACAAGGCGCATAAAGAACTGTTATCCTCTGTCTCTCAGTGACATTTCCTCATCCCAGAAGCAAAACCTGTCATAGTCATTGCATACTTTTTTCCCTGTTTTTGTATTTAGACATCTTGGATTTCAATATGACACTTCAACAGAACTATTTTTTCCACAGGAAAAGACAACAATTTAGAACTTTCAGAATTGATTTACTAATATATCTATTTTGGGGAGAGATTTTAAAGTATTTCCTATTTTGAATCAGAAATTAATTTGACTAACTCTAGCATAGACTCGTACGCCTTATTGATCATCCTACTTGAACATCCATGGACATCCATGGAACTATTACAGGGGGCATAGAAATAATCCTCACATTATTTTATTTATTTATTACTGTGATATATACCTCACGTATAAAAATACTGGCTATCTATTCCTTTCATGTACTAAAGGCATGCAGTAGAATCACTGGATTTCAGTATTACCTATTCTACAAACTTAAGGTTTTACATGAACAAACAATGGAACAAACTTTTCCATTACCAAATCCATACAGACATGATAAAAAAACCTGCTTACATCGCTGGCAATCTCTCTGGATGCTCTGGCAGCTTGAATAGGAATGGCATCAAAACGCAAATCATGACCCTTCTTCTTTGATTCCTCCAAAGCTAGTCTGTACATTTTCTGTGAGAAAAAAATTCACATTTTTGTTTCAAAAACAAAATTACACTTCACTTAAGCACATTTGTGTAATAAAACAAATTAAGTCCCTAAACAATATTGTTAATGTTGAGACAACTTAAATATATGAACACAGCTCTATCTTCTCCAGAAAATAAAAAAATGCAAATTTCAAAGATCTTGTAATTGTATTGTAGACACTTGAAAACTGGAAATCATTTAGGAAAGGCAAAGAAAGGAATATTCTAAACATTAAATAATTTATTTCCATACCTTGCTATAGAAATGATTTCTCATTTATGGCAGATAATATACTTTAAAAGCCCAATTAGATACTCAGGAGGTAAATTCTAGCAAAAGAACAACTCTGATTTTAGCAGTGGAGCTGGCAATTTGTGAAACTAAACATCTTGACAATATTATAATATTAATTAAAAGTGAGAGATGACAAAATTGTACTTGTCAGAAATCCTTTAATTCTCTCAACTCTTCAGTTTTACTCACCTGACTGTAGTTTAATTGGTTTTGTTTAGCTAGCAGGATTTCTGGTGTGTCAGGCATGACGTGAACCATGGTCTTATCTTTATTCCATGCTTCAGTGTATAAATGCTAAGAAAGAATACAGGAAGAGATTAATATTGCATTCCAAAACAAGTTAGTATCTCATTAATCAGGTAAAGCACAGAGCATACTAGGTAAATTTATAGGAAATATAGCGTGGATAAATGGTTGTGTATTTAATCAGGTAGAGGTACCATTATTAAAAAGATAATTTATCGAAGGAAATTTAACAACACTTAGAAAACTGCCACATTACTTAAGAATTATGAATAAACCAAAGCATTATTACTGCTCACTGCACAGACATGTCAAAGAAAAGATTAAGATGTAATATGCAGAATATCATGACAAAGTTGAGTCTTCCGTTACATGGCCTAATAGTTTTGATTGAAAAAAACAGAGCACACTATTTGAAAATACATCATCTCTGAACTTCAGCATTACTTGTGACCATTGTATTTCTAGGCCTGCCTCCAGGGTTTAGGCGGAGACTGATGATGTGTTACCTAATCGAATCAAGACTCACCTTATTCATTGTCTCTGCATTCTGCTTGGCTAAGACCATCTCTGGAGAATCAGTGACGCTAGTAAACTTGATTGTGTCTGGAGGCTGACGGTATATTTTATCACTCAAGATCTCTCCCGCCTTCTTGGCTTTTTCAACATCCAAGGAACCAATTGGGACCCAACCAGTGCCCCGCAACCATTCAAGGTCAGACTTGTAGCAGTTCTATTACAGAAAAAATACACAGGTTATTATAATAATAATAATAATAATAATGCAATTTACATGGTGCACCTTTTCAGTAAAGTAACCTCACTATCAACTTTTAATTCAAATAAATTCAAAACCCTAGAGAAAATCTTAGAAAAAATAACTGCATTTCATCTACATTAAGAGTGAAACCATTATCCAAGTTTCACAGAATGGCAAATGATAAATAGCCCACATTCTGGAATTACAGAATTTAATTTAAATACCAATTAGTTAACATATCCTATTGGAGATCTGAGTTTCAATTAGCCATAAAACTTAAAAATAAGCCTTGAAAATTTGGTTCCACCACATTGGTATGTGATGGCCTGGTCCACCTATGTAAAATATCACATACATTCCTCACCAAAAAGTTAAATCAAAAAGAGCTCACATCACTCTGTAGGTCATAGGCCTTCTTAGCATGGATAACATCATTCTGGTCTGGCAGACAGATCCACTGATGCAGATAGTGACGGTAATCAATATCGCTGACCAACCCTTGACATTTCTTGGCCAACACGATTCCCAGCATGTCCACTGGGCTACTGAAGTGTGTCTTCGTCTTCTCAAAGGCTTTCTTGTACTCCCTGTCACTCTGGATCTTGGCCACGTGCATCGACCACATCATCTTCGGATCATCCTCTATGTTACGGGCCCCTATGTGGTGGCCAAGCTGCTTGCGATAGCCTTCTTTGTATTTGTACTGAAATGAAGTATATCCATATTCACATGGTGTATTTATAAATTAAGAAATAATTCACACAGTTTAACATAGCCATTACTATTTTGTTTAGAGAAAAATATGATTTAGATCTTTTATTAGTTTTTAAGTTTTACTGATTTTCACACATTTTTATTACAGATATCATTATCTCTGATTTTTTATATAACTATATCACACTTTCAATTAACTAAACATTTGATGTCACATACTTACTAACAAGTTTGATATTCCACATTCTTTTACTATTAAGATTAAAATGCAAAGATTAACTTATTTTAAAAGCTTATTCCAAAACACCTTGAGGAAGATAGTCTTATTGCAAGCCAAGCTGCTTGCGATAGCCTTCTTTGTATTTGTACTGAAATATAAATCGATATTATATTTCTGTATCACCTCTAAGTATCAGTTACTCATATTAAATATTCTAATAATAAACTCTGCAAATTTCTCTATAACCTACAGTCAAAAAAACCAAACTGTCAAAGCAATTCTGGGGCTAATAACATGGATTCTCACATTAAATTTTTGAGATTTGAGTTAGAACCCTAAATAGAGATTTTTACGCAAGTTTTTTTGAAAAAACATTTCACTAATATTAGTGAGAAACAATCTTCTCCTTATTAAATATATTTAACCCTTATTAAATATAATAATATACATACTGTTAGGATTTAATTAAAGATACGGGTTTATGAGCTATAAAATTAACATGATAGCAGCATTATATTGTCCTTATAACTTCTCAACATTTAATTTTTACAATTAAGTCTTTAAGCATATATAATAATTTGCTTCCAAAAATCTATTATTTGAGATCACAGTTTCATTGAAATGCCTTTTACAGAATCCAGCTGATAACTTTCAGGTTGCAGGGACCAGATGTCACCACACAAAGAAACAAAAAGTAGTTTCTTACGTCACTGGCAATTTGCCTGGATGCTTTGGCAGCTTGAATGGGGATAGCATCACTTCTTAAATCATAGCCTTTCTTTTTTGCTTCTTCCATGGCCTGTTTGTAGAGTTTCTAGGTGAAGAATTAAACAATGGGGTTAATGTAAGTAAGTTCCATATACTACATTTTATGCAAAACAAACTGCTTGTAAATAGAGTAGATTTTAAAAATTGTGTTAAGATTTATTCTAACCCAGCTTTATCTAATTTTCTTAACTCAAAGCCCCAGATCAGTAGCTGATACAAATTCCTATCAAAGGAAGATCTTTGCTAAATACATTAGCTAACAACTTTCTTCTTTCAATACTTTAAATAACATAACATTGCCTACAATTTTAGAGATTAATTATTCTTCTATACAAGTGGAGTAAAACTTACTTTTCAAAGCCACCTTTTATGGATGTGAATTTATTTGCCTAAACTAACATTGAACACTGGGATCACTGCTCTTCAGAATTGTGCTGGAAATTACCTTTTTGGTGTTTCCAATGTTGGAATTAATTTTGTGTCTTCCCACCAGTATGTATGCTGGCAGAAATGACTCCCAAAAATTCACTGGAGACACACAACTTCTCATGGAATTTATTCTCAACAGTGCTCACTGTTGTATGTATGCACTACTGTACAAATATGCAAACGACGTTTTTAAAGTCACAATTTTGAGCATAAATATTGGGGGTTACTTAAAGAAACTGATGGTATCATCTATATAAGGTTTATCAGAATACTGATGATCCAGCCATGAAACAGACCAGTTACATTTGGAGAGCTAACACACTCACCACACTGTAGTTTTGCATGTTCTGTTTTGCCAGTGTAATTTCAGGTGTGTCAGGCATTATGTGGATTTGTGTCTTGTCATTATCCCAAGCCTCAGTATATAAACGCTGCAGGAGAAATAACGTATGTTAAAGGGGGGAAAAAAACGTGACTACTTGGAGATCTCCTAAAACATAAGAAGAATTACAGATCTGTAGTCCAAGTCTAAAAAATCCTTATTCCTTATATAACAATGAGATTTTATATTCACTCCTCTAGATACTTAATGTCCAGGTTAAGAATTAGTAATCTAGAAAGAATTATGTTAAAAAAAATATTTAGAAAAAAGGCACAAAATGCTAATCAGACACACAGAGATCTAAACTCTAAGAACAAGGCCTGTTTGAAAGAGGAAATGGTTTTATCTGAGATCAGGACCACAGATTCAGAAAAACTTTTACATTTTAACTACTATGCTGAATTATTTAAAATACGGATATTTCAAAGACTGCCCTAAAACAAGTAGTTTATTAATTACTAGATTAGTAGATAAACTTGAAAAATTATTAGATTTATTAGACAAATAGCTCTATTAAAATTTAGGTGAAAGTTAGGTAACATTACTAGATACACGGTAGAGTATGTGGAAAGCTTCACAACTGATAATTCCAATTTAACTTGGTAACTTGAAAGATACTATTAAATTAGCACTTGCTGAAAATAAGTTACCTGTTGATTACCAAGAATGTAACATACTTTTAAAGCCTTGCTGTGCTGAAATCTCACACAGCAACCACACATCTGTATTTCTAGGCCTGTCTCCAGGGTTTAGGCGGAGACTGATGATGTGTTACCTAATCGAATCAAGACTCACCTTATTCATTGTCTCTGCATTCTGCTTGGCTAAGACCATCTCTGGAGAATCAGTGACGCTAGTAAACTTGATTGTGTCTGGAGGCTGACGGTATATTTTATCACTCAAGATCTCTCCCGCCTTCTTGGCTTTTTCAACGTCCAAGGAACCAATTGGGACCCAACCAATGCCCCGCAACCATTCAAGGTCAGACTTGTAGCAGTTCTATTACAAAATAAAGACAGCTGTCTCATTAATATTGCTGGTTAAACATTTCATATATACCATGCAACTAATGCTTACTTTCTGTAAGCTGCCTTTCTCCTAGTTCAATCTGCAAAACAAACTGTTAGCAACCTAGATTCAGACCTCTTATCTGTCTTCAAGAGGTATCATTCACCAAACAACATGCTGGGAATGGTCAGAGTAAAGGGATTAAAACAAAACCCTGAATGTCAGTATAAACTTTTCCTGTAACATCCATTCCAAACAAATAAATGTTCACCCACTAAGAACAGCAGGTCTTAATTTAAACCATTTTCTCCAAGACAGAACAAAGGAATTGTCTCCACTAAAGTCATGCAACTAAAAAAAAAAAGTCATACTAGGCTATTTCCTCTTTCCAGTTAACCCGCATATAAAGGTATTAAGATTGTCTATTATGAAGGATTATATACAGCTAATTCTACTATTCGGCTAACTGATTAGCTGTATATAAACCTTCGTAATACTCAACCTTCCTTACACACAGATTCATTCACTCCTAAAAATCCTATGACCTTGCTTGGAACAGGTAAATCAAAACATAATATGAAAAAACACCATATGAGAGAGACAGTTCAAGCACATTCTACAGTTTATATTCCAAGGAAATTACATACACTTTAGAAATCCAACGCTTATCAGCGAGTACTCACATCACTCTGCAGATCATAGGCCTTCTTAGCATGGATAACATCATTCTGGTCCGGCAGGCAAGTCCATTCATGTAGATAGTGACGGTAATCAATATCGCTGACCAACCCTTGACATTTCTTGGCCAACACGATTCCCAGCATGTCCACTGGGCTACTGAAGTGTGTCTTCGTCTTCTCAAAGGCTCTCTTGTACTCCCTGTCACTCTGGATCTTGGCCACGTGCATCGACCACACCATCTTCGGATCATCCTCTATGTTACGGGCCCCTATGTGGTGGCCAAGCTGCTTGCGATAGCCTTCCTTATACTTGTACTATAGGCAAAAAAACGTTCAGTGAGTATTAGTTTAGTTTTCTTTATGTTCCTAGCAGCCCCTGTGGCACAACCTCCAGAGAACTTAGTATCTGAAACCACAGAGACTTTAGAGTGAGAAAGTATTCAGCTGATGAACTGCAGTGTACACCTACAAAAGATTCACATAACATTATCCACCTGATATGACCTTCACATTTTTGAAGAAACTCCCTGGCCTACATATTAACAGCTACTACTCAGCAACTGAGAGCAAAGATGTCTCCAAATTACGGCAGTGATACGAAAGGCCTGAAGTTCAAAAAATATCCCCTACGTAAAGAATCAGTGGCCTTCAAGCACAATAGCCAAATAAACTCCTAGTCAATCTATTCAGGAGATAAAAACTGGAAGAGCATAGAGACAGACATGGAAGTTTAAATAGAGATACTAAACACATATATGGAATACATTTTTATATTAATACCTAATAATAATAAAAAATTATTTACTTTTATACTGCCTTTATTTTTACACAAAAACTTGGTTTGGGTTGTCTTTCCTAATGTCTAGCTCAGCTGTTTACCTGCACTATTAGGGGCGTGCAGCTTCTCAAAGGCTTTCTTGTACTCCCTGTCACTCTGGATCTTGGCCACGTGCATCGACCACACCATCTTCGGATCATCCTCTATGTTACGGGCCCCTATGTGGTGGCCAAGCTGCTTGCGATAGCCTTCTTTGTATTTGTACTGCAGGGTTAAAGAAGCTCAGTAAGTTTCAGGCCAGCTCTTCTCCCTGCTGACGCTATTCTGTAGCACTGCCTGTGAGCGAGCGCTTTGCTAATGGAGCCTGGCAAGATCACCACGTGAAGAGGCGTCTAAGCGCAGCATATCCCTACTTGTCCCCTACACTCCCATCCCACCCCACGCCTACACTGGGCCACAGGAGGCACATGGAGGCCCAGACGGCAACTCCAACCAAGGTAGCTCGGGAACCAGGAGCGATGCATGCCAGCAGACAGGGTCTCCACACAACCTAAGCATCCCCACGGAGAGGCCAGCTCTGCAGCTGGGATGCAAAACTCGGGGAAAACCCCCGGACTGCTCCAGCAGGCAACCTGGGCCTCATCCTGCACAGCCCTGACTGCACTCACCCACACAGCCCACAGCAGCTGACACACTCCACTGCACCAGGCCCTCCTGCACAGTGCTCAGGAGTCTTATTCTCCCAGCCCCATGTGTGTCCTCAGCTGCAGACCTACACCCACTAAGCTTGGGAAGTGACAAGGGGCAACACGACACTTTTTCAGCAATGTGCATGTCAAGAGCTTATGGGTGAAAACTAGAGACCAAGCAAACAAAGGAAACTTTGTGATTGCTGTCTACTACAGGCCACCTGATCAAGGAGAGGGTGTTGAGGAAGAGTTCTTTCTTCAACTGCAGGAAGCATCACACTTGCAGGCCCTGATTCTGATAGGGGAATTCAACCACCTGAACATCTGCTGGAAAAGCAGCACAGCAAACTGCAAGTAGTCCAGGAAACTACTGGAGTGCATTGTGAACAACTTCCTAGTACAGGTTATGGAGAGCCTGACCACAGAAAAGGCACTGCTGGACCTGTTGCTCTCTAATGAACACGACACTTTTTCCCTTGCCTCTTACTGAAGTGTCAAGTAAAACTGCGGAGAGATTGAATTCAACTCCTTACAGTAATGGAATAAACCTGAACTACAGCACCTTGCATAAGAGAGTAAAGTCAGCTACTGCAGAGCTAAGCCCTGAAGAGATACTCTGGGGCACAGTAATGACTGGCCTACAGTGACAGGACCTGCCCCCAGTCCAGACAGAAATGATAAATGCCCCGGTCATAACACAAAACTTGGTTTGGGTTTTGTTTCCTAATGTCCAGCTCAGCTGTGTACCTGCAACATTACAGGCGTGCAGACTGGCAGTACTGAGGGCAGCACACGACCTCAAAACTCCAGTCTGTTGCCTAAGGAGACGCTGCCACAAGCCCAGGAGGGACACTGCTTTGGATTACGTCCATCACCCAGCTCCTGCTGTTACTCTCTCCACACTGGCTACACATTCCCTCGCAACACCACACACCCATAACATGCAGGGACAGCTACAGGCAGACCCTCCAGAACCAACACGTTTACGGACTAGCTGAATGGTAATGACAGGCAAGTGCTGGGTAGCCTCTCTTTGGCTAAGGTTGCAAACCCTGGGCTTCAACAGCAAGCACCTGGGAACTATCTGATAGGGCGTGCCGCCAAGGGCTCCTGTGTACTTACATCACTTGCAATGTCCCTGGAAGCTTTAGCAGACTTGATAGGAATGGCATCTGCCCGCATGTCGTAGCCCTTTTTCTTCTCTTCCTCCATCGCAAGCTTGTACAGTTTCTGAAGGAAAAACAAGCACTCCCCTCAAGCAACACGTCTTCCCAGGCCACAGCAGTGTCCAGGGACGCACGCTTAACCCCAGCTCAAACACCTTACCTCACTGAAGTTCGCTTGGTTCTGCTGGGCTAGCAAAATACCAGGTGTATCCGGCATAATGTGAACGCTGGTTTTATCTTTCTCCCAGGCTGATGTGTACGAGCGCTGAAAAAATGAGTACAACGTGAAATACGATCACGCAAGCACCGGGCAACAAACTCACAGAGCAAACTAGCTCAACAAACTGAAGCAAGGGGCCTCTACTTCGCACTGACTCAGGAATGCCTCTTCCTGTCCCAAAACTTCCTAACGCTTCACCCTTTGCTTTTCCACACTCCACCCAGTCACCGCTCCAACCACACAAAATAGAACTTGATCTAAAACAAGGAACACAAATCCCGGATGCAAGGGATGCAATACCCCACTTTGCAAAACCCAGGCCCTGGAAGGAGAGAGCCCAAAGTCCTGGGAAATGCACTCGTTTCCGTCAGGTTGCACACACAAGGAAATCTCACTTGGTTCATAATTTCAGAGTTGTGCTTTGCCAGCACCATAGGCATCGAGTCAGGAGCGCTCGTGAATTTGATGGTGTCCGGGTGTTGCCGATACTTCTTGTCACTCAGGATGAGGCTCGCCCTCTTATTCTTCTCATCGTCCAGCGAACCACTTGGGGACCAGCCAATGCCCCTCCGCCACAGAAGGGCGGACTTG